CACACACACACACACACAGTCCTGACCCATTAAAATCACAGTGTAAGGGACAAAGCGAATCTGTCTGTACAGGCCTGGAGTGTATTGCTTCTTTCTTTGTTTGCAGACAGCAGGGGGTCAGAGAAGGACATGCAAGGAAGGAGTGTGGGTTACAACGATGTCGACACATAACACACACACACACACACACCCTGGAACATAAACACATCTCAAGCCCCCGCGAGTACATGTAGACCCCCAAAAAGCCTATCGTGTTCCCTTTGATAGCAGCTAACTGGCATCAATTACCACAAATAAAAAATCTCACTTTACATCCATTCGTTTTTCCAAGGCTCAAAACGCCCCCAAGCCAATCTGCCGCAGTCAAATATTAATGACTATATCTTAAATAAAAGGCATATATACAGAGGCATGTATAAACCTTCACAATATCCATACAATTTAGACACATTAGAGTTCAGTGATTATCCACCTCCGAGCAGATAAACATTAAATCCCTCAGTTGCTGGCCGACTTCTTTATTTCACTTGAAAAATGATCACACTGAAGCATATTACACAAGAGGAATTAATCCAAGATGAGCTTTAACATTTCCATACCATCTCCTGCTCTCTCTCTGTGATTTGTCTTTTTGTCTATCGCTCTATCCTCCCTCGTTCTTTGTCAGCCGTGCAGCACAGAATCACAATGTTCATTTGCAATCGCCCTTTCACGAGGCACCATGCGCTGCTCTGGACTCACACTCAGCGAGCATGTGTGTACATGTGTGTATGTGTGTGTGTGTACATGTGTGTACTTGTTTGAGAGAGCAAGGAAGAAGGGGGAGGGGTGATGCATGGAGACTTGTAACGTCCTCCTTCAATTTCCATCTCTCTCTCTTTTGCTCTCTGCCACTCCATCCTTCACTCTCATGCTCAGCCGCTCTGCACTTTTGTTCTCCTTTCTTTCTCACCTCAGCGAGGAATGGCCATATCTATAATTGTGTGCGTGTGTGTGTGTGTGTGTGTGTTTGTTCATTTGTGTGTAGGCCTGAGGCACATTTGCTATAGCATTCCATTGGCGGTCAATCTTTTGCGATGGTCTAGCCGGGTCTGACGCTGCCGTCACCCATCTTAGTCCTCAAACTGGCTCTTTATCTATTTCCTTTCTTATAATTCAATTCCTTTCCTTTTTTTCCCCTTAATTCCATTCCTTTCCCCTCCAATTGTTTTCATTCTACAATTCCTCTCCTCTCCTCTCCTACAGAAATGTATATAATATAAAACATGTTTTTGCTAAGTAAAAGGAAGATTAGGTGGGTGTTTAGTTCACTCTACATCCATCCTGTTTTCCTCTCCTTTCTTCCAAAATACACATGAGCTGGTGATACACAGCTCTCTGCACTCATCTCTATATTTAGGGAGAATATGCTGAGAGGATAGAAGGGGAGAATAGATGTACCATATAAGAGACAGTAACAGAGGACAGGGTCAAAAGTGTGTGCACCGGGATGAAGAGCGACAGAGCGGCTGGATAAAAGAGGAGGTTGGGGGCAGAGAGAGGGGTGTGTCGAGAGATTTGGTGAAAGGTTGAGGAAAAAGTGAAAGAGATCGAGAGGGAGCGAGAGAGGGAATAATCACCACTGGGGTTTTTTGTTTGTTTTTTTAAAAGAAGGACCTGTTCAGTGAGCGGAACTAACATGAGATGAGTACTTTGGACTTTTAATAAAACAGACAGATGCCTACTCACAATGACTGTGATCTCTGGCTTTCTTCCCCCCCCCCCCCAACCATCACCATTGGCACTAAAGTCGCTGAAGAGGCAGCAACTGTAAATTTCAAAAGCTGGACCTCTCCCACTCTTCCTGCTCTCATGGAGTCTGCAGCACAGTAGAATACCTATTAGATTAACATGACACTGATTCATGATGGGGCTCATCCAGTCTTCCTGGAATTTCATTGATTAGTTTTGACATTAAAAAATGAAAACAGAGAAGATTATATTAAAAACTGTGTTCACATGTGTTGACTTATATGTACATAATGCACAATATTTTCAGTGACTCGCTCGCTAACTTCTGGCTCTCGTCTCCGCTTCAGTGGTGAATGTCTCCTCGGCTAAAGACTAGGCTAAAGAAGTCATGTGCAGTAAGAGCACAGGCAGGCAGGTCGGTTAGTGACATGCAGGTACACCAGCCAATAATTTCATTGGGTCCAAATTAAATGATTTGCTGGCGAACCTGGTTGCTCGTGTTTATAACAGTCCTGCGAGGACCACCGGCTTTTTAAAATGTTCTTTCATAAGACTTTATTAATTTAAGACTTTCGGCAAAAAAATTGTTTCAGAATCAAATGACCAATCCTACATTTCAAGGAAATCTGAATAGATTTGTGGAGAAACATGATTTTCAGATATTTCCATACAGAGGAAAAGATTTCACTAAGTGGTTTCTTGATTATGAAAACAATATTAATCATATGTTATATTGTTATAGCTCCTCTTAGTATGGAAACTGCAATGGAAATAGGTTAGCTGTTATCACATTACCTGAAAGTTTGGACACATGGGTGCAGTAATGTGTATTGACTGGAATATTTTTTTGTCAAGCAGCTTTTCTGATTTACAAAGTTACGAATGAATCATTAGACTTTCCATTAAATCTTTTCTGGAGTTATGTGGTGGAGAGTGATAGAGGAGATGGGCCAGATAGATGACAGGAAAATGAAGGACAGAGAGATGCTGCATAGTAAATGTAAAAGTGCTTTTATATAATGTTTTTAGTCACTGATTCAGAAAAAATACATTTCCTGGTTGTAGGTTTGTGAACATGAGAACTTTAGGCCTTTTTGTGTCTTTCATTTAAATCTGTGGATGTTGCATTTGTTGGTTAGACAAAACAAGACATTTGAAGATTTAAAGTGGGATTTAAGACACGCGATGGACACGCTTTTCTGACAAATAATAAAATCAAGAAAATAATCTGCAAACTAGGATATGTGGCCAAGAGCAAGGACATAGATGGAAAGTGAAATTTGAGTGTGGATCGGATGAGGAAAGTGCTGAGAAAGTAAACAGGTAGCATGCTGCTCAAACAGCAAGCTAAAGCACTCAGCTAATTAAGGAGAATTGAAAATAGTCATCAGTCAAAATGGGCCCTGAGGCTGGAGTAAAATTAGACACCGGCTCTCAATTTGATTTGGTACAAACATTAATAGTTATAAAAACAGCTGCTGGATTTTCATTATTGGTTTGCTGAATTTAAAATCTCTTGGTTTGAAACATGGAAAACTGGAAATGATGAGTTCATAGTGGCCTTTTATTGTTAATTGAGAATAAGTCGAAAGGTCAAGGGGCAGAAGGCTGTAACAAATAACATCAGACTGTAAGAGGAAGAATGATCTCACTCATGAAGTTTACCATTATGCCCCACAAGAATTAACCTCCCAAGTCTTAGTTCAAGTCTTCACCTTTCTTGACCTCACTGTGTCCCTTGACCTTTGCCCCCTTACGGAGAGGACAAATCAATGAGCATTAGGCAATTTACTTGAATGGAACATGTGGTCGGAGCATTCTCCCTGTGGTAGATGACCTGTTATTCTAGGAGTAGTGGACAACCCCCACAAGTAGGAACGTCAATGCTTTGCTGTCCTACCCACTCAAGAGATTAAGAGAAGCATAGTTCATCCATCCCTCCGTCCGTCCAGTCCAGAACTGATTGATAACACTCAACAGTGCCCAGCTACGCGTTGCCATGAGAATAAGAGGCTGTGTTTCCCTGGCAACCATTCTTCAAATGCCCCCACCTCTCTCCTGTCTACTCTCTCCTAATGAGATTCAATGATGCAAGGGCAGCAGCGGTAGTGTTAATAGTTACACCAGCGGGTAAGACAACGCTGCAGTTGTGAAAGACAAAACGAATGAGATAAGATTTTACAAGATTTGTCCATTATTAAAGATGTTAACATGGGAGAGACAAAAGCACCTTCTAGGTTCTCAGATCAGACTGTAGCGTTTGAGTAATACTGGTCATTTGAGACTGAAGACACGGTAAACAACCTCTGTTTCCGACCACGAACCACTTATATCTACTGTGGATATTTTAGACCTCAAATGACGACCTTAAACTACTTGTGAAAGTAGCTTAAACAATTTCCTTTGGGGTATTTTTCCAAAGGTCATACTCCTTTTAGGGCAGAAAACAACGTGTAGATCATCATGACACTTAAAACAGCTACAATCAATTTAATTTATCATTGCAATGGATCAAATGATTGCATATAAAATGAAAGGGGTGACTTTTACAAAAAAAATTGACGTAGAGAATCATCACCTACAGTTCTACAGTTTCCCCTTAGCTAGATGGTTCCACAGCAAGGTTAACTGAGGGAAATTACACCCTCACCTAAAAGGCTAATGAAGGCTATCTGCTGCATTAGACAAGGCAGTTTATTATTTTTGGCTCTTATGTTTATTTGCCCTTTGTTTTTTATGTCCAAAACATGCATTTCTTTGCCCTTGTCGACTCTGCACATTTTAAAACCAAAGTCAACACTCCTCTCTCCAGTGCACTTTCCATGAAGTTGAATTTTATGTTAATTTCCCTCTTTGTCTATCTGTCTGTCTCTTTGTCAGGTGGTGGGTGCTGATGCTGTAGCCACTGTGTGGAGCTGACAAGCCTTGGTTGATGCAGTGAAGTGTTCCAGAGGGATAAAAATAAGCGAAGGTAGGAATGAAAAATGAAGGGTGGAAAGATACGCATAAAAAAAAAGAATAGAACAACACCTGAAAATACGAACATGGCAGAGAAGCACCATATGGGCGAGATGAAGAGAGGAGAGAGGGAAGGACAGTTTAGGAGAAAAGGATGGGTAGAGAGGAAAGATGAGAACTGGGAGTGTGCAGTTGCTGCAAGCTTTGTGTACAGTACAGCTGCTGGTTTTGATTCACAGGCCAGTGAATGCCCCGTCAGCCTGTGTGCAACAGAAAGAGAGATCATTGTGGTTAGAGGCCGAGAGAAAGAGACACAGATGGAGAAAGGGAGTTCGGATGGTATTATCGGTGAGTTAATGGAGGTTAGATTTGGCAAAGCGAGGTGGTTTGTGAGCTCACTAAATCCACACTGATGAAGCTCCTGTGCTGCAACAGGAGGAATCTTTCACTGAGAGCTGAAAAGGAGTCGGGGAGGCCAGACTGTTCTCAAGTCGCCATGTGGGAGCCGAGGCTCTTCTTTATCAAGACTCGAGGAGGCCTCCTCTTTGGTTTCTCTTGCCGGACTACAGATGAGAGCTGTGTGCTGCAAAGTTGCATAAGAGAAGCACTTTGCTCCACTTTCCCGCCAGCGGACTGCAAACATGGTGTGTTTGCATGTAACAGAATGTTTAACCAATGGCAACCAAAAGTACTTCCTAATTCACAGCGTGCCATGTCCTAATGACCAAACTGTTACCTAGATACATTATGAAATGTAGATTGTGGACTTCATCTAGAACTTTAAAAAGCAAAGGTGTGTTTGAACTGCTCGGCCACTATTTCCATTCAGCCACTTAGAGCTGGGCCACCAGTGGGACTGAATGGCACCATGACAGAAATGTGCTGTGACAAGACACGGCCAGAGGAGCCGGGAGAGTGCTGCTGAGTGGTGAAATAGAGAAGTGAGGAAGAGAGAAGAGCTGCAGGGATTATTATTGAGGAACCCGCTCTGACGTCAGGAGCAAAAAAAAGAGGGGTTTTCATGTTTTACGTCCAGATTAAAAAGATAAAGACATGACAGGACAGAAATTTAAATACCATGAAGGCATCATATTGTGCTTCTTCTATGCTACTCTCACCCAGTATATAGGGTTTATCCTGTGTACTGCATCTTGCACACAGAGCAAAGACTGAAAACCACAAGCCTTTAAATAGATGACTGAAAAAGAGAAGTGTGAAGTGGACAGAGATACACGGCATGAGACAGAGGGTGAAAAAGCAAGAGAACAGAAGTTTACATCAGTCTGTAATAAAGCAGAGAGTGGCGGAGGACTCCAGATACTCAGAGCCGGGCTAACCTGGGATTTACTTACAGCTGCATATTCACAAAGCAGGACACCAAAGACGAGGGCAGGAGGAGGAAGAGAGGAACTGCGTGACAAAGGAAGGGGTGAAGCAATCGTAGAAAAAAAGGGTAAGAAGAGAGAAGTGTGAGAGGCTGATGGCTGGTTGCCTTCCCGGCTGTGTGTTGTTAAAAACAGATTTTTGCTCAAGTAGTAAAGATTGATGCTCTGTATGAGCAAGCTGGATGCTTTTTCTCTCCCCCCACATCTTCTGCGGAGACGATATCACCAGGCCAACAGTAACCTGGCAACCATCAGCCGAGCTCTGCTCTCTGGACGGACCACATGCTGCCTCAGATTCAATATACGCGTGTGTGTTAAGGTGTGTGTGGCCATTGTGCGGCTGCAGCTAACACACATCTGTGTCAGAGTAAGCTTTCATTGCTTCATACAAGGCTCTGATAGGAATCTAACCTTGACTTTGCCTTTGTAATCACCTTGTCAGGGTGAGGATATTCATGTGATATTCATATATTCACGACCCCGGTTCTGTGTGCGGTGGAGCAGGTGGTCTGAAAGTCAGAGTGTGTTTTACACCCTCGGACTGATGCTCATAGTTCACAGCAGTGACTCAGCATACAGCTCTCTTCCTCTGCCACCTGACACAATTTGTAGACGGAGCAGACACACAATACTGTAGATACACTAACGTTCGGAAGAGAAGCAGCCCCTGTGGATGCAGACCGTCAGCCAGCTGTCTCAGCGGCTGGGCCGTGTAACTCCATCCCGTCTTTATCTGAACCTCAGTGCTGCATTGCAACACCCGTTCTTGCTGAGTAATATTGAAAAGACCAGGGTTTTTTTTTTTTCTCGTAAACATGCTAATACAGGCCATAAATTTCACTTGCAGTGAGAAACTGAGAGGCCTGTTCTGCGTGCTTACATTGCACATAAACACAGAGGGTACGGCAGGAGGAAGTGAAACTCTGCAGCTGCGTACTTTTGTGACTGAAGCCTCTCTATGAATGTGGAGGGGGCCGGGCCGAGGATGATTTAGGAGGAAGGCTTTTATACGCGCACAGCTGAGAGTCATTTATTAATACTGGATTCCACTCGTGTGTTTTGTCCAACACACACACATCATGTAAAAATCATATTATTCCAATATTGCATATGTGTCATCCTGTTCCAGATCTTTATTGAATCTGTATAATATTTACATTCCATGAAATATTCAAACTCAACACTCAAGATCTTCACTACAGTTGAGAATATTAAAATAAAGGGTGGGTTAGAACTAAAGGTCAGTATCAATACGGTGATACTTAGAATTGATATTGATTCCAGCCATGGTATTACTTGTTACTGGATCAAGAACAGATTTTATGTGATTACCTTATAGTTTGAACAATATTTGTGTCCACAACCTGTGTTAGCTCTGATTGTTCCAGCCGGGACAGAAGATTCAAACCAGCAATCACTGACCTGCACACACCTGGCATACAGTATGTTGCTGTTGTGTCTGCTGCTCAATACAAAAGTGAGCACACAGACCTGTATCTCCTGCTCGTCTGCAGCATAATCTAATGAAGTTTGCATCATTGGTTTCATAAAGTGCTGGCATCTGGCCTTTGGGTATGAAGCATAAAGAGCTTGTCATAAAGTATCTATAGACTGCTGTGCATGAGGAGCATTAGGACAGAGTAGCCCGTACATAGCAGGCTTTTATTAGGTTACTATAGTAAAATAAATGGATTAAATCCATTGCCCAGGTCTAGTGACTCCCAATGAGTGCGCTAAATGATTCACTACTAGATTTAGGCTCCCCTCTAATTGAATACAGCATACGGCATGTATTGGATGCAAACTGTGATCACTGTCATTCATGACTGGAACGTCCAACTTTGCTCTGGACATATTGCTTGGACAGACAGATGGAGGAGGAGCTAATTAGACAAGTGAAAACTGAAGCAATCACAACCTGCTGTGTTCTCTGTGTGCATGTCCTGTGTTTTCATGCGGGTTGCCAGGTTCTGCGTACTGTATGCATTTTGTTGTTTCCCTCCTGTCCAGGTCGCCAGCCATGGGGAACCTCATTAAGGTCCTTGGCAAGGATTTAGAGAACTGTCCACATTTTTTCCTGGACTTTGAAAGTAAGTGAGCACCTGGTTGTGTGCACGTGTCCGTGTGCTTGACATGTGAGAGCATGTGTGCATGTGTGTGGAGCAGAGGTGTTCATTGGGAGGTCACCTGGCGGGGGGGTCAGTGTGAGCTGATGGTGTGACTAAGTGCTGTTGTGGGTGTGGTTTGTTGTTATCAGTCGCTCTCTAGTCCCACTCTTAAAAAGATACTTCATTAAATTACTGGTGATACAATAGAAATGTAGGGTGTGTCGGTACAAACAAAACGGTGCATAAATGCAATGATACAAACATCAGTATGACTCAAAACCAGTTCTGTTTTCAGAAGTCCTTGAACAACATCACAGAAGAAAGCTACAACTGATTTATATAAAATCTGCCTGTACTGTGTCAGGCTTTCAGTCCTTATAAATTAGTAAGAAGTAATATAATATATTTAACATGTTTCTTTGTTATCAAGCATCTCCCTATAGTGAAACCTACAATAACAGTACTTTGTTTCAAGTTTTCCGCACATGGAAACCCGCCTCTGTTTTAAATTTTTTACTACTCCAGTTTCATTTCTCTCAACTCAACTGTCAACTTCTAATCAGAGGGTTAATACCTGCCCAAAACTGAGTCACTCAAATTCAATGGGGAACTTTATTTAAACGTTTAAATAAAGGGATTTATAAGGCCGTTTTGTTTATATTTTGAATGATTTTATTTCCTCTCTATTCAAAATTTCTGCATTTGATTTGCAGAGGCTGATAAATACACTATAATATAATTTAAGATTTTACCCAGAGAATGAGGAATAATGTGCAGGGTTTATAATTTCTTTAATCCAGATTTGTCAAAAATGATTTTATGTTTTTTTGTTACAGAATTTATATTATGTTATATACATTTTCATTGTGTCCGTTTGTTTTCTTTGTGTCTGTTTGATTCTTTAAAGATTTCATTCAGTTCTAAAGAAAAAAGTATAAACTTTAAACTTTAAATGATTTCTGTTAGGAAATGAGGAATAGATTATATTTTGACACAAAACTATATAATTGAAAATAAGATTTTGATTACACATTCACATTTAATCTTTCACTTGAGGACTACTCGCATTAATGCAACCACACCATGACCTGTTTCAGTTTAAATCTCAACATAAATCTACAATCAATACTGTAAGAGTGGGATTACAGAGGCTCTGTGTTCATGTGGCCATTCTTCACCCAGGACATACTTCCATGCCTATCCAGCAGCCCCCCTCTCATCCAGCCACCACCATGACACCTCCACCACCATCACCACACACACACACTCCGCTCACACACTCACACACATACAGCCACGTGCGCACAACCCCCCCGACACCTGTCCCCTCATCACCCACAGACTTCTCCCCTCTCTCTGTTCCAGGGGGCTCATGGGAAACCTCCTGAAAGTGCTGGCTTGCGCCGAACTTGAGCATGGCCCAATAGTTTTCCTTGACTTTGAACGTGAGACCATCCGCTTCTTATTTTTTTGAGTTATCCCTTTCTCTATGTTGCTTTTGCCTCTTCTTCCCTCCCTCCTCATTCCATCAATCTTAGCCGACCATTGTGCCATTGTTACATCCTTTTTTACGCTTTTCTCTTCTCCTCCTCGCCCTCTTCTTTGTGTTGTGACTCATGCTCCAGGGACTGGCATTTGAAAGTCTTTTGGCTTCTTCCTGAAGGGTCTTATTCACACGAGCCACATCTTATTTGACTAAGACAGACGCACAATGGCTGTTGACGCTGTGGCAAAACGACAACGATGATGCTTTGATCTTGTCTCCCGAGCTACAAAAGCTGGGGAGAAATAAACAGCGAATGCCAGTTCTCTGTGGGTTTCCGTTGCTCAGGGATGACAATGGCCAACAAAAAGTCCATCGTCATCCCACAACCTCCTTAACTCCTCATCCTATAATGTGTGACCTAATGTGAGAATGTGTGTGCGAGTGCAGAACTAAATAATGTCTGTGAAAGAAAGAGAGAAAGATTGAGAGGTTGGTGAATAAAACCACCTCTATTCCTCCCTCTTCCCCTTTTCCCAGAGAACTCACATCTTTGCAGTGTGTCCATCTTAACAAGTCATTCAACAGTATTGAAGTCTTCTGCCCTTTTAGCAAAAGGTTAAATATTTTACTAACAAGAACCACATTAACAGCTCTATGAGACGCTACTATAGCACACAACAGCATTCCTTTGGGCCAACGTCAGAATGCAATCATGCTTGCAGTGAAAAAGTTAAAATGCTAATGTTATCTAAAATTCAACACAGACTGTATACAAATATGGATGACGTGTCTCCACTTCCACCCACTGACAAAGAGAAAAGTGCAATTTGAAGTCTGTGCAGTGGTGATCAAGGGATGATGCGCCAGAAGTCATGTTCTGCCAATAGACAATCACTCCGCTAACTATTTCAAACCAAACTTACTTAGCACTAAGAATCACCCAAAATGACAGAAACCACATTTTACATGTTTATGATTACAATGTTACATGTTTATGATTACAATACTGCAGCCAGCCATCAGATGGATGGGGATGCTTTGGCTTCACTTTTGGGTCATGTCACCCATCTCTATATACAGTCTGTCTTTAAACATGTTCACCCTATTCGTTAATTGGGTTAGCATGCCAATATCTGCTAATTGGCACTAAGCAAAGAGTGCTGCTTAAAAGCAAAAATCCCAATGAAGATTTCAAGACAGCTTCTGAGACGACTTAATGAAGTGTTAAGAAGGAGATATTTTGCATTTTATCCCGACGTGTTCTTTCCCTCCTCAAGCACTTTCCCTCTTTAACAGCTGGCCTCCTCCACCCCCTTTTACTGACTCCACAGTACGGTACAGTGGGAGAGGGAGGGCTTACTCCTGGCAAGAGACATCAGCTGTCAAATAGGTTGAATTTCACCCTCATTTATTATGCCTGGGATTTCACATGTGTTCAAAAGCAAGTGGAATGTGTCAGACTCTGCCCCCACCCCTCCTTCAGTCCCTCCCTGCCCGGCGTCGCGCCATCTGTAAGCTCTCCCTCTCAGCCCAGAGACACATGTCACACTGTCACCTCTGTCACACAGCTCAAAGTTTGGCTCAACCTCCATGCTGAGTTCTCATGTAGCTATTTGTGGCTGAATGTCAGAAATCTTATATCATGTTTAAACCCTGAGGGATCAGTATAGCGACTGTGGAGGATAGGATTCCTCTAAATCAGGGGTAGAGGTGCCACAATTAACACAAATGGGCCAATGTCCAACATCGATGCACAATTCCTGATTCAGTAAGGTGCACATTTAAGTCGATCCTTGTTTAAGCCACACATCGTTGAACATATTTTGAAAAAATGTGTCCTGTTCAAGCACAATTACTCTTCTTCAAAAACGCTCAGAGAATAAACATTCTTAACAAATTCATATTCATTTTTTGTATTGTTAGTAAGTAACTAGTCAGAAATAAAGACTTCTGACAGGACAGGGACCAATCAGATTTCAGCTGAGACCAGTGCAAAGTAAATCATTTCTTTAAAAATAAATGTACCACAGCCTCCTTTAATTATCATCCATCAAACAGAACATGTAGTAGTCTACTGCTTGTTAACCAGATTAATGCAGGGGCACATTAGTGTGAAGCCATTACGACTAATACTAATAGTAGTGCCTGCTGTGCTTATAATGGCAGGTGGGTTAGCAAATGTTCCATGATTACTATCTCTTCATGTGGTACCATGAGAACCACTACACTACACCATGCAGAGAACTCCATGGGAACACTCCCACTCGCACATTGAGCTGTGTGTTGTTCGAAAAGAAAAGAAAGAAAAAGACGGTGATGATTCTGACAAATCATAAATTGTCTCCATTTCACACCTAGTCCCTCCTGCATACGAATGCAATGCACCACATGGGCAAACAACACAGAACTGTGACTGGGAGGTGTCCCACGGCAAAAAACATTGAGTTTACAGTTACGTGTACTGTTTGGTGTGTACGTGCGAAACAGAGAAAGAGAAAGAGCGAGCATGCCCAGAGGTTGTCCTCCCTGCTGCTTGTTTGTTTTATAATTTCTCACAATTTAAGGCTCAAGGGCAAAAAAAATGTGCCTCTATTCAAGAGCAGGGGGAAATAGAAAGTGAGAAAAAGATGGATAAGACTATTACATGAATCTGATAGGACAATTATACCAACCAAGGCCTGAATAAATCTCTAGTGAATGGACATTAGGGACGATTATGGAGTCAGACACATTGTCCAAGTGATGCAGACACTTCTACACTGACTGAAAACCATTTAAATGTGAAACTATTAGTGGCCACATCCTCATCCAAGTGATCACCTGAAGTGAAAGTGGAACTTGTCATCTTCTGGTCCTTATTTTGTGACCACACGCAGTAATCAAACCTCACTGTGTGACAGAGTGTGACTTGTAGGTCTCTTGATGTAAGGGATAAATAACATTTACAGCTGCAACATCCGCTAACGCTATGACATGCAGCAATTTATTCTTGTTGGTTTGTTTCATTTTCATTCCAGCCATGTACTGAGTAATCACTTATCTCAGGTTTTGATCTGGCCCTCTAGGATATTATCTTTTCACCTCTTCCTTCATCATTAACCACCTTCTCGCATTTTTCTCATTTTTGCCAATCACTTCCCTCCCCGCAAACTATCCCTCTTCTCTACCCCCTCCCGTCAATATCTCCATTTCCACATCACACTTTCACTTCCCCCTCTTTCCCGCTCTATTCCTCTTTTGCTCTGTATTTTCCTCCCGTCCTTCCTCACAGATGCCCAGCCCACGGAGGCGGAGACAGCCGTGTGGAACCAGGTCAGCGCTGTGCTGGAAGAGGCTCATGGGATCCTGGCCGAGCTGCAGTCCTATAATGGCGCAGGCCAGGAGATACGAGAAGTGAGCACCAAGCAGTCAATAAGTGCTGAAATTCACTAAAGTGGTGAATGCACAGAAAAATAACACTCGTGTGTGATTCACGTTGCTCGCCAGGCTGAAATTCTGACACGTCACTCACCTTGCAGTGTGCACTAAATATAGGAAATGACAGAAATGTGCAAACATATTTTTTTTCCCTACAAGCATTCCATGCAACATGTTTTAGCAGTAGTGTTATGGTGGACACAGAAAGAATTGTCCATTAGAAAGCTGGTGTGCTGATCCTGACCGCCGCTTACAGTATAGCATTCAGATTTCAGTTCCCTCTGCAGTAAAGATCACTGCAGATTGCTTAGCAGTGCTATACTTGTTAACAAATAGTGCTGAATCGTTTCCTCTCCTTGCTTCCTAACCCTGAGGATTTGGAAGCATTTCTTAGCAGCAGTCTTATTCTCTTAGCTGTCGCCGTGTTTTCACCTCCAGAAACTATAGGAACTTTTGCAAAAACTCCTCGTGTTTCCGCCACAGGGACCAAGGTCTAAATTAAGTTCGGGGGGAATCTTGCATGTGGTACTTTTCAATAGTATCTAATTCTAGTATTTATTGTATTGTAGGCTTAAATTTCTCTCTCACATTTAGTGACATGAGTCATTATTATATGATATTTAACAACATGGCCTTTTTGTAAGTGTGTACCTGAAGAGGATTACTCAAGTTAGTGTTAAACATTATCTTGTAAAACTGGTAAATGGCAAGATGCTATGAGAAAACAACTGAAATCACTTGAGTATTGAAGTGTTAAATTTGAATGAAGAGAAAATGTTTTACCAAAGTGAAGAATCTCTTTAAGAAGGGGCGAGGCTGAAATTGAAGAGATGGTGAGGTTTTAAAACCTTTAAAAGGTCTTGGAAAGTAACATCTGTGTTTCTGCAGGCCATCCAGAACCCAGGTGACCTTGCTCTGCAGGAGAAGGCCTGGAACGCAGTCTGCCCCCTGGTGGCCAAGCTGAAGAGATTCTACGAGTTCTCCCTCCGACTGGGTGAGCATGGCCATTACACATACACATATAGAGGAGTTACTGGTGATGTAACACAATCTCTGGTGGGCATGTTGTCGGTTCAATAAGAGCTGATATTATAGCTGGAAGCAGTTACAGCCGAGGACTAAATTTAGAAAGGCTATTAGCCATCAGCCAGTCGGTTATCAAGAAGCAAGGCCTCCATTGTGGCTATCAAATGGTACGTTGCTTCTGCTTAAAAGGTGATTATTATAGTGTTGAATGAAAGAAAGTCACTAACATCCATGTCTTTTTGGTAAGGAGCTTTTCTTGCTTCTATAGTTTTGTCACATTGTGCAACAGAAACAAATAGGAAATGATATTAAGTGGCATTTGTTGTGCAGTGAGATGTAAAGGTTGGCTACTTTCTTGACAAGCAATTAACAGTTACAGGATGTCAGATGGGTGACATGCACTGTACATAACACTAACATATATGGAAAAGAGAGAGTCAGTGAACACATCACACATGTTCCACTGAACCTTACGTAGGTTCATTTGAAACTAATGAAAACAGGTTAAATTAAATCTTTACAAGCTGTAATGATTACAGATCCACTACCACCACTGTGATTTTACATGGATTCCTTCACGCATGCATGCACGCACACACACACAAAGATGTCCTCTCAGCCATCTCTGCAGTATCCTGACCCAGCAGCCAGGCAGCCGTTGCTACGGAAACAGTGGTACAGAAAGAGACCGAGTATATAGAGAGAGAGAAATATGTGCAAAGAAATAGAGTTGGGCTGCCGCCTCTGCTCTGCCTTCCAATAACACTTGGATCTCATGGACATGGTGTTCTCAGCTTACCATACAGCGAGAGCTGACTAATAATTGATGATAATGTACCAGCGCTAATGTATCTGAGATACAGTACAACAGATATCTTGTAGACATCACCTCACCTCCCTCCCTGGACCAAATCGTCAAGACCTGACTACATCCTCCCTTCCTAGTTTTTGACTCTAGTTTTTGAACCAGATTTTTTGATTTATGTGTTTGATCAAAATGGGGAAATGAGAGGTTAAGGGTTCCCATGCACAGTAAACAAACAGCTGCAGACTGTCAGCACGTACCCTCAGGGATCAGTGCTCAGTGTAGGGACTGTACCCTCTGCGCAAACAGCAGGAGGGGGAATGGGGTTTCAGTCCTGGCCCTTCACATGAAACACTCGTGTGCTGTATTTATAGAAGGACCTTATGCATTTTTAATGCAGAGGAACGGATGGGGCCTCTGGAGACTGTTCTTCTGAAGCACGAATACTACACTCCGCCTCCGACACCCAGCTCTGGATGGTGTCTGATTTGTTAGAGGCTGCAAAGCAAAGAAAAAAGGCTGTAGCATATGTGACACAGGGGATACGTATGGTCACAAGGATGCCCAGGCTGAATGATAAGTCATGATGTGATCTCTGTGGAGTAACACAAACATTTACTTTATTTAGTTTGTCTCGTACAGTGAAATGTATTGTTAGCGCCTGTGGTCATGAGGGCAAATAGAGGGCGGCTGAACTGCAGAACCTTAGAAAAGGTCAAACTCTCTGGGCTCAGCAGTCATAACAAGACACAGAGTTCACAGCCATGTTCTCAGCTCTCAGAGACACTAAGACTAAGAAAGAAAGCAAATGGTTTGGAAAATGAAATCACTTCCATTCCATTTTTTTCACATTTTCCTTGTTGATGAATTGTGAAGTTTGAGAAAATGTATCTTAAGTTGACACAGCATTAAAGTTAATATGTGAGTATAGTTTTGCAAGAAGACATCTTTAGAGTAAGAGCGTGCAGCAGCTGCATATGTAGCTCTCTGAAGTTTTTTATAGCCACAGCAGTGCAATGACCTAAATGCTATGCTAAGATGCTCACTGCTCAATGACAATATTACAATTTTTATTAGGTACAATGTTTACCATGTTCACCATCCTAATTTAATGTGTTAGCACATGCTAATTAGCAAGACAAAATACAGTTGAGGCTGATGAGAGAGTCATTAGTTCTGCAGGTACTTGATTACAAGCCATAATATTGAATTGTCTGAAACTTTTGACCTGATGATGGTTCTAAATAAAAATGTATAAATAGACATAAGGGCACTCCAGGAATTTTTAATACGTTTTCTTCAATAAATGTTTCAATATAAAGTCTGTTCACAGGAGTTTTGGGGTAATGCTGCATATTTGGGAATTAAAAATAGAAAGGCCTGTGGCTCCAGAGGGAAATCCAAAAAGTAGGTTGGCAGAGACAATACGAGTCTGAAAGAGAGAAAAATAATCTGCGGGTGTGGAGTTAAACAAAAGTGACCTCTGCAGTTCAATATTCACTATTAGCGTAACATAACAGAATCTTCAACTGTGTGTAAATGGCACAGAGTGATCATCATAACTAGAAAAGCGCTAAATATATACAGACCATTTTGAGGGAACACTAAAATCGTTAGGATTAATCCTACAGTCTGGAAAAAAGTGATTGACCAACAAACCGACAGACCAACGTTGCCATCTTTAGAGCTAGAGCTGTCAGCTCTAATGCTAAATTTCTGGTCACCTCAAATGTTAAATCGCAAGGGCTCGGTCTAAAAACCTCAGTTTTATTTTCAATTGGGCGTCCAAAGGTCAATTATTCTGCCTGAAGCCAGATCCCACTGTGATTTCAAAGTGCTGAGTGCATTTCTAAATAAAGAAAGCCCAACAGTTAATAATGAGGGGATGAATTCATCCTTTAGACTTTTGATCCAGGCCAGATTAGAAACAATTACAGCAGTCAGAACATGACAGTTAACACTCCTGTATAGCAACAGTAGGACATGCAGATTCCAGCTTGTGCGGGTGGATTTTATAATAATGTCGGAATGTGTTTGCAGAGAACGCCCTGCGGAGCCTGCTGGAGGCGCTGACGAGCCCGCCCTACGCTCCAATGCAGCACCTGGAGAGAGAGCAGGCCCTGGCCAAACAGTTTGCTGAGATCCTTCACTTTACGCTCAGCTTCGATGAACTAAAGGTGAAGGGGAATGATTTCTGCTCTAATTACAGCCCTCTCTGTCTGACCTTTACTGCACTGACAATAAAATCAATAGACTATAAATGGATCAGTGAAAACATAAACCACCTCTGCTCTCCCCACACAGATGACAAACCCTGCCATTCAGAATGACTTCAGCTACTACAGGAGGACCATCAGCAGGAACAGGCTGAACAACCAGCAGGTGAGGCCGTGCAGAAAAAAGCATCAGGCTGATTTTGTTGCATATCATGCTGTGTTGAGTCAAAGCAGCGTGGCTTCACTTTCTCTCTTTAATCATTCATGACTCCAGAGGAGATGTTTCTGTTCCTCCCAACAACCCAAAGACATGTACAGTCAATATTTCATTTGTCATTCAAGTTACGCAATTTAGCTCCATCATTACACTCTCAGTTTACCAACTGGATAACATCAGTTTTGATATCCATATCCGTTTTCCATTGGCTCACAGCTGGAAGCCGAGAACGAGGTTAACAACGAGATGGCCAATCGGATGTCCCTGTTCTACGCTGAAGCGACACCAATGCTGAAGACTCTGAGCAACGCCACCACCAAGTTTGTTTCAGAGGTGAGTTACTGATCAGATTTAGCTCCTAAGCTTTTGAAAATGTCACAGAAAAAGCATGATGCAAAGATCTAATTCAAGAGATTCAAAAGAATTATTAACCTGATTCAAAGTAACAGTGCCACAAGGTAGAACACTCAGAACACAGTAGATGTTAAGTATTATCAGTAAAATGTACATATGTAAAGTTCCTTTTCATGCTACACAATTCTTATATATTATATTATTACTATTGATGCATTCAATTGTTTAAGTGTAAACATTTGACTTTGGAGTTGTTTCATTATTATGGTTCATTAACTTTATAAGTGGTAAAATATTAATAAATTGAAATACTGTAATGTATCGGGTGAGATATAAATGTATCTATTATTTATTGTTGTATTTATTTAAATAAATATAAATAAGTGTAGTTAAGTAAAAAATATTTCTATAGCACCTCTCACAACCAAAGCTACAAGGTGCTTCACAAAAATGTAATATCAATGTTAAGTTAGCATGTCATAGAAAAACCAGATCACACTCAGAGATGCAGATAACAGAACAACAATAAAACAATAACAGAACATTATAACAATAAAATAAAATCATATATATATTATGTAGGTAAGTGTGCATAAAATATAAATACTCAAATAATACTCTGTAGTTATTAAATGCATTCAGTTACATTCCACTGCTGCTTAAAGATAATACTTCACCATTTGTCACAATTCTGATTCACAGGTTTAATGTAGAGTTTATCAAACATGCCCAGAAATTTGCACACAGCGATGTGTAGTGAAATCGAACATTCATTGGGGACTGATCACTAATAATTAGAATGATGATAATAACAACAATGTAGCACGTTGGGGGTGGATGGGTGGGGCCTCCCATAATTCCCTGGGACGAAGCTGTGGGTCAGTTCAGTTGTTGTCTGTGATGTAGATGTTCTTATTTGTTCTATATTACTGATTATCTTCAATGACAGTAGTTGCAGCAGTGGCTTTTGGGTGCAATACGGCACCGTTAGTTAATAACATTTTAAGCTTTGAATTTATTTTAATAAATAAAACTCCACCTGAGTTATGACTGTTGACAATACCCAGGATATTGCAATATTATATCTTTATTGATCCTGTTTACCGTTTGCACAGTCCGAGTCAGTGTTGAGACATGAGCGTTTGCAGACAAGTGCCCACAGTATGCTATTAACAGATAAGCTACATTATTATTTACACCTTCTTCAGCGGCATGGATGTATGATGCATTATAGTGTTTAGTCACTTTATTCCATGGTAAGTCCTCAACTCAAGTGCTGCACCGTAGCGTGAAAACTTCTACTTCCCTCTGCTGTCACAACAGTATTTTAGTGTGGAGGTAGCAGTCTGATCCTGGCTTTACACCTCAGTGCTTTTTGATGGCGCGGATGTTGAGGAATACTTTTGGAACTCATGCAAAATGTAAAGGACATGCTGGTCAAGATTGCCTTTTAGCAAAGTCACTCTCCTGTCCTGCTGCTGTTACTGACCACTGCAGGTGAGCTTTGTCTCCACCTAGTGCTAAAATCGTGTTTTCCTCTTGGACAAGGTGGTTTGGCATTGAGGGAAGGGATAGACGATCTCAGTGACGGAACATTAAAGATAGAAAGGCTTTTTTGCTTTGTGCTAATCCCTTTTTTTTCTGCCTAACCTTCAGAATAAGACCTTGCCCATAGAGGACACCACAGACTGTCTGAGCACCATGGCCTGTGTCTGTCGTGTCATGCTGGAGACACCGTGAGTACTTTCCACAACATCCCTTCTTTCAATCCTCTCATTTCTCCACATCATTCCCTCCAAAGGACAAGAGTCGTAATTAACAAGTCCTCTCAAACTGAAGACAAAAGATGTCCTCTCAACACTGATTCACTAAAGAAAGAGATACCCTGTCCTTCACACTAAATTGAAAATCCTTTCACACTAGATTTCTCCATGTGAACACAAAGTCATCAGCAACTTGACGAGGCCATCACTAAGTGCTTTTAACAATAGCAGTTCTTTTTACTCAGCTTGTTCTCTGGTCGCATTGTGTTTCTTATTTCTCCTCCACACTTTGTTTGTGTTTGTGTGTGTGTGTGTGTGTGTGTCTCAGGGAGTATCGCTGTCGGTTCACCAACACAGACACCATGCTGTTCTGTATGAGGGTGATGGTGGGTGTCATCATCCTCTATGATCACGTTCACCCTGTCGGAGCTTTTGCCAAGACCTCCAAAATTGATGTGAGTAAACAAATAATCACTGATCGCAGGTTTCTTGTTCATGCACAGAGTCCAGAAAACTGTACCAACAGTGTTGAACATCTCCTTATAAATATAACTATAAAAAGTGGATACCTCCACCAAGTCTGACTGTTTATTTGGATCTAAAACAAATTGCACACACTCATAAATATCATTCCCTAAATGTGATTTTAAAATCAAGAACTATGAATTATTCCCTGGGAAAGTAAAGATGATAATAATAACTTTACCTTTCAAAACAAAGTTACAAAGTGCTTTACAATAAAACAGCCACCAATAAAATCAAAAACTCGCAACAATAAATTATTATAAATAGTTCCAACCATAAAAATAGTGAATGAATAAGCCAAACAATAATTGTAATTCTTAAGAGAGATTAAAAATAAGTTTCTGAGTTTGCCTCTCTGAGATCTCTTGACAGAGAGTTCCTCAGCTGAGGTGAAAATCTCCAAAAAATGTCTCACAGTAAATCTCTGTCAAAGTTTTATGAGTCTCTCATACTTCATGACCCAAGTTTTATGGACATGGACACAAGTAGTTATTGTGGTGAAAACATCACATCCTTGCTGAAGGTAAAAAAATCGCTATTTGATTCAATTTCTCACAACTCATATCCACACAAAGGTAGAAGTTCACAAAGTCAGAAGTCACAGAGGCTATGAACCACACATGGAACCTTATAAATTCTGTATGAGACATGTTCAACATTATATGGGTTGTGTAGCTCAGGCCGCTTGTTTTCGAGTATGCTTGGCTGCAGAAGCAGCAGCAGCAGGAGATGTGGTGGATCTGAGGCTGCTGACCTTTGTCTAAGTCCCTGTGTTGTCTCTGTGCACGGCAGATGAAGGGCTGCATCAAGGTGCTGAAAGAGCAACCGTCCAACAGTGTGGAGGGACTTCTGAACGCACTGAGGTGTGTATCATGTGCACGTCACCGACAGAGACGTAACGCACAGGATTTGTAAAAAGCTTCCTGATTTCACCCCGTCTCCCATTTTTCACCTCCTTCTGCAGGTATACAACACGGCATCTAAATGATGACAGCACCTCCAAACAAATCAGGGCCCTCCTGCAATGAGCAGAGGAGGAGAGAGGGAGGAAGAGAGGGAAGGAGTGCACTTGAAGGAGGAGGAGGAGGAGGAAGAAGAAGAAGAAGAAGAGGAGGAGGAAGAAGAAACAAACACAAGTGGCTGATGAACCTGTTTGTTTACAATGAACAAAGCAACCTGATGATAATAAGAAGAGGAAAGTAATTATATATATTGTCAGCTGTCCATCATTCTGTCTCTCATTTTGTAAAGTAAGAAAAGAGAAAAAAGCCAGAAAAGAAAATATAGATATATATTAAAACAAGTGAAACACAAGCAGCAGATGAAAAATAGGTAGTTTAAAGAAGAAGCTATATTGGAAAAAATTTAAGGTCAGAACTTGAAGTTAAGTGATAATGTACAAAAAAAAAGGGTTCATGTTCCAACGGTAGTCTGACAAGTATTTTTGCACACACTTTGAAAACAATGCCATCTCCTTTTCCCAATGAAATCTGGTCCCAAACTGGTTCCCGCAGACTTTCGCCCCCCCCCATAGCTCAGATTTGCTGGCACGGCTCGGCCTCCTTCAGCTGCACCGATCTCCACCCAGTGAGGTAATATGATGGAGACATGACTCCGGAGATTTGCTTCTACCTGTTTTCATTTTTTTTTTCTACATCGATGCAACTGAAGGACAGGAGGCACACGTGTTTTTAGGAAGCTTCCATTTTGACCACATTTTCTTCCCTGTTACCCATCACCCCCTTTGCCCACCCGATCGATCCGTCCATGGGATGCGTGTTTCTTTCTCCATGTTCCGGCACAAAACATCTCATGAGCCGTCTGGCTTTACTTGAACAGTGTTCACCCTCTCTCTTTCTCTCCATGGTGCTAATGTGGTTTAGATATCACAGTCTGAGCTTCTTAGATCTCATTTGGCAGGAAAACAAAGGGTTTCTTCATCCTCCTGTTTGCATTAATATGTAAAAACTCATGGTCTAATATCAGCAGATCTGCTCTCAGCTTTTCTGTGGTTTCATATTAGTGCACAAAAGTGGACAAATCTGAGTAAGATCCATTTAAGTCATTCTAGGAAATTGCAGCACACGTACTTCTTCACCCAGTGCCAAAGCTGACTGGTTCACGCTCGAATTACATCATCACGCCAAGGCTGGAGGAGGTGGGGTTGAGAGGGGGTAAAAAAAAAAAAACTAAAAACCCCATCACTGATCATCATTAGAGATATGAAATTACACAAGTCAGAGGGTGGTGCTCAAATTTGCACACATGCCTTTCAGAAGAGATATCTGAGTGTTCACAGTGTAAATATGTGAGGCTTTTTCTCAACAGGCATCTACATGGTCAGCATGGGTCCTCGAGGAAAAACATGACAAACACCTGCATACAACTAGAATTCTTTCGTTTCGTACAAGGTCGATGAAGTTGTTGAATAAGTGGGGAAATCAAAAAAGGAGAATAAAAAAAAGACTCGAAAGGAGATTTAAATGAAGTGCTGTACTTTGGATGTCTATAGCCCTTAGTCTAATTTCATTTGATCTTATAATATATTTTCTATACAGGGGTATGTGCACAAGCATATTCTGTATAAATATATAGATGGCATGTTGTAAAAGTTCTGACAGAAATGTGTAAATAAAGTGTTTTTATTCATTTTTAATTGTTCAGTGATGCTGAAATTGGGTATGTGTTGTCTCTCAGAATTACCATGCGTTTGGCTTGGACCATCGGACTTGCCGTAGTCATAGGTTTCAGAACTTCAGCTTCATTATGGCGAATGAACCGGAGGGAGGGGAGGGATGCTGAGGGTGGGTGGGGGCTGTCCATTTGCTTGTTATTTTGTACATTTTGTGCAACAATAAACTTGTCATTTATTACATTAACCACTGATGTTGTGTGTGTGTCTGGAGACGTAGATGTTCTGTGGCGTACGTGCACAACAGAAGTAAGTACGATTTCAGCTGCTGTAGCCATTTATAAATATCTTTATTATTCATACAGCTGTTATGTTTAGCATTAAAGGTTCAGTGAATAGAATTTAGTGCCATCTAGTGGTGAAGTTGCATGTTGCAGCTGAATACCCCTCACCTCACCATCCCCTTACATGACAGAAAACCTGTGGTTAACTTTGGTTGTCATAAAAACTCAAAAGATGTTTCATTTGTCCAGTTTGGACAACTCTTAAAAACATGGCGACCTCCGTAGAGAGGACCCTCCTGATGCAAATATAAAGTATTTAAATAAGAAGGACCCATTCTAGGTTAAAGAAAACAAGTTGTACAGTTTAGATGAAACACACTACAGAAAACATTACTGGGATTATTTTTAATTGAAATTTAAAATATTGCCAATTGATCCCTTTCTTCAACATCTTACACACTGAACCTTTAAACCAACATTAAAGCAACACTATGCAACTTTCATTGAGCAACAGCGCCCTCTGCTGTCACAGTTGGGTGGTTTTCATCTAAAGAACAAACTGTCTTGCTTTTGTGACCTGAACTACAGCTCAGCATTCATCTTGAACTTGTTGGCAATTTGAAGTGTAAAGTCTCAAGCAGCTCAGAGCCTCCCTCCACCCATAGCATAACTTTAAGATGGGGTGCAGGAGGCATTACCATGAATATTGTTCCACTAAAAATTAAGAGCAGACAGTCATCCATACAAATAATGTCCTTTGGTGTGTGAGGACCTGACTACCTTGAGCCATTTAAAAAAAGGTGCACACAAACACACAGGAACTCGAGAGACAATACAATGATGGGCAGTTGTGGGGGAGAGGGTCGTCCACAGAGCAGAGGTTCAATTCCCGCTACATCTAAGTCTGCATTCGTATTCGGACAAGATAGTGAACTCCAGTTTGCCTCTCACAGCTATGTACAGTGTATGAATAGTGTGTATTAGAAAGAAAAGCTGTGTATAGACATGCTGCACGGGTGTGTGTGAATGGGTCAATGCAGCTTGTACTGAATCACTTTGAATGGATGATAAAACTATAAAAGTGCTACATAAATACCAAAAACCATTTACCCTTACAAGGCATCTCGGTCCAAGTATCATTAGTAAATTAAAAAGTGTGACTTCATTAAGTAAATGTGCATCCAGTGATGAATGAACACACTTTATATGTATCTTTGTCTATTTTATCTATTTCATGATTTGTGGTTTCAGGGGAATATGACTTTCTCTGGCATCTCTTAGTCAGAATTATTATTAATATCCTGATTCTTACTGCACAACACATTAATAACACAAAAATCCAAATGTACAGCCTGTGATGGTACATTGTGTTCTCCTGTCCCTGGACATGATGTACCCTTTTCTCACCATAAGGGGGCAGCAAAAGCTCACTTTATAGAAGACTGCTACACAAACCACTGAATGTACTGTACATTCGAGTAACGTGCGTTGTCTGGATCTAAACAGAAGCCCCTCATCAAACAACAACTGATGACACATGAGATGAGGAGATACTGACTATGATAAAGTATTAAATAATTAACAGTGACATTCATCCGATGTTCTAAACAAGATTAATAATTAAACTGCTCCAATAGGTTTAATAGTTTCATATAGGTTGTTGAGGTTTACTTCCAGTCATAGTCTGTGAAGAGGCTGTGGAATTAGCTGCAGGCGGTCTGTGTCCACTCAGCTGTGTTGTACAGTGCGACTGCTGGGAGGTGTAAAGTAGGGCACGAGGAAACAGGAGAGCCTGACAGAAGTTATAGCTGGAAAAAATCAGAGGCAGGCAGATACTGTCGCATCGTATAGAGCAAAATGCAACCACAGTTTATAAGAGAAAAGGAAGATGCTGCACGTACAGTGAGACACTCCTGAATCAACTGTGATTTGGATGTAAATAAAAAAAGATTGTAGGCAATCTCATAAAGTGTGTGTGTGTGTGTGTGTGTGTGTGTGTATGTGTGTGCACGTTATAGACCAGTATCCACAGGTCTGGCTTTCGTTCCGGGGCCCCAACTGTCATGTAATAAATAAGGAACCAGCATCTCTCTTTACTTCCATCATGGCGTTCAAATGCAGAGTGGCGTAACAAAAGGCAGTTTTTCACAGTTTATCAACTGGAAATGTGAGATATGAAATAACAGAAAATCTAATCAGACATGCGCATGTGACACATCATGACCTCATGGAGTGACAGACACTGAGAGGCACTGAAGCTGATTCTGATTTGTTTAAGAAAATTTACAGGAATTTTTCCACTTTGTACCAAAAACGTCATGTTCTAAGTGTTCTCTGCAGATTCTTTATTCTTGTCTTGCTTCTGACACTAAGACTCATCACAAACCAGTGGAGTTATCGTCTCATTCACACCTCCTCCAACAGACTGAGACAAAATGCATGTCTCAATAAATAAGTCATTTACAACGATTTACAATAAAGCGAAGAACAAAAATATGCAAAAAATTAGATGATAACATGATTGTATTGGTGGTGGAACCTCTGAGACTGAGGAGCCAGTCTTTTTATTAAAATGAATTTATCTACTGTATGCAAATGTAAGTAGTGATCATAAAGGGAAAAAAACTTCAGGTCACAACGAGGGAAATGTTCCTTTTCAGTTAGATTATTTCAACAGCTGAAGGCAGCTCCTATCACACAAAAGTTCCCCTGAAATGTTTTGCAAATTCCCCTCTTCACTCCCTCCCCTAATAGAACCAACGACTCGGCCAAAACGGATCAGCTATTAACCGTTAACACCTTATCAGCCTGGCTGTGTGTGTGTGTGTGTGTGTGATACACAATCAACCGTGGTTTCCCTCCACTGGCTTCCCCTCCGGCCCCTCTCTCATTCACACACACAATAAACAGTCACTTTTTTTCCCTCCTTTGTCTCCCGCTCACACACCTAACTAACGTACACGCTCCTCCTCACATACCTCATATCAGCACAGTCATTGTCGTTAGCAGTTGGAATGTAAATCAGCCCGAGTGTCGTTACTGCTGGTTACAACACCGCTCCACACAATCTGCACTGCAACAAATGTGCTGACCAACTGTGCCGAGCAGCATTTCTACGTGCATTTTAATTAGTCTGTGTGTGTGCGTGTGTGTGTGTGTGTGTGTGTGTCTGAGACTCTGATTAGCCTATGCTACTTTTTGCTTGGGAAGTTGGATTTAGGGCACGAGAACATGATGTGATTCATTTCAGTTCTGTCTAAAATCACAAGACTGACAACCACCGTCTGCAGACGAGGTGAAAACCAAAACCTCACATCAGAATATGTGTGTGTGAGTGTGAAAATTAAGGAATCTGTGCCATTTAAATAACCCTATGCCACATGTTTTTTTAAGAAGTTGGTCCTTGACAACATGTCATTCATTTCATATGAAAAGAACGTCTGCAGACAAGGTCAAAACCAACACGTATTTCCCAACTGCTGCGGGCCACATCATTGCACTACATAAAGGTCCTTCCCATGGCTAATAATAGTCACACTGTACATAAGTCAAATTGTAGATATCTATCAGTGAAATGTTCCCTATTTTTATATTCATGCTTATTCACAAACACACAATTCACACACGCAAATTCTTTGTATGCATAAACCCTAGCAGCAAACCCTGATTCTAGTTCTTAGAGTATGAATAACACCTTTTTTGTGAACATTTCATGTTGTGGCATCAAATCAGGATCATCTAACGATATTCTATGAACTAGAAGTGCAGGAGACGTTTTGATCTGTTCAGACCTGCACTTTCTCCATGAACATTAGAAGCAGGAGAGGTTGTGCAAGAAATCTCCACAGTGTACAGCACTGTGTGCAGCTCAGCAGAAGGCTAGCATTTGAACCACGTCAAAATCATTTTTTGCATCGTGATCGGTAATGAGTTATGCGATTTGGGGGAAGCTAGAGACGAATGATACATGAGAGCCTTGCGTGTAAAATGAGAGGAACAACAGGTGTAATCTGTGCAAGAGGACAATGCTGCGTTATTGATAAAACTATTGACTCATTACTTGAAATGGTGCTTTCTCACTGACTGCACATGGGAAACACTTTGTGCCAGAGTTGATCAATTCACAAGTCACATCCATAACCATACAAAGTCCCAGTACCTGCACAAAAACAGTGCATGACTCTGCTTGTTAAAGAATCAATAGAGCTCATCACATATCTGTGTGTCAGGCTGGGATCAAATATCACATATGTTGTAAGTCTGCTAACA